CCTCAGCGTCAGCCTGCCTCAGCTTCAGCCTCAGCCTCCGCCTGCCTCGGCTTGCCTCGGCCTCGGCCCCATCCTCAGCCTGCCTCAGCCTCAGCCTGCATCAGCCTCAGCCTCAGCCTGCCTCAGCATCAGCCTGCCTCAGCCTCAGCCTCGTCCTCAGCCTGCCTCAGCCTCAGCCTCAGCCTGCCTCGGCCTCAGCCTCAGTCTGCCTGCAGCCTCGGCCTCAGCCTCAGCCTGCCTCAGCCTGAGCCTGCCTCAGCCTCAGCCTCAGCCTCAGCCTGAGGCTCAGCCTCAGCCTGCCTCAGCCTCAGCCTCAGCCTGCCTCAGCCTCAGCCTCAGCCTGGTTCAGCCTCAGCCTCAGTCTGCTTTCAGCCTCGGCCTCAGCCTCAGCCTGCCGCAGCCTCAGCCTACATGAGCCTCAGCCTCAGCCTCAGCCTGCCTCAGCATCAGCCTGCCTCAGCCTCAGCCTCAGCCTGCGTCAGCCTCAGCCTCAGCCTGCTTCAGCCTCAGCCTCAATATGCCTTCAGCCTCGGCCTCAGCCTCCGCCTGCCTCAGACTCAGCCTGCATCAGCCTCAGCCTCAGCCTCAGCCTGCCTCAGCATCAGCCTGCCTTAGCCTCAGCCTCAGCCTGCCTCAGCCTCAGCCTCAGCCTGCTTCAGCCTCAGTCTATCTTCAGCCTCGGCCTCAGCCTCAGGCTGCCTCAGCCTCAGTCTGCATCAGCCTCAGCCTCAGCCTCAGCCTGCCTCACCCTGCCTCAGCCTGCCTCTGCCTCTGCCTCAGCCTGCTTCAGCCTCAGCCTCAATCTGCCTTCAGCCTCGGCCTCAGCCTCAGCCTGCCTCAGCCTCAGCCTGCATCAGCCTCAGCCTCAGCCTCAGCCTGCCTCAGCATCAGCCTGCCTCAGCCTCAGCCTCAGCCTGCCTCAGCCTCAGCCTCAGCCTGCTTCAGCCTCAGCCTCAGTCTGCCTTCAGCCTCGGCCTCAGCCTCAGCCTGCCTCAGCCTCAGCCTGCATCAGCCTCAGCCTCAGCCTCAGCCTGCCTCAGCATCAGCCTGCCTCAGCCTCAGCCTCAGCCTGCCTCAGCCTCAGCCTCAGCCTGCTTCAGCCTCAGCCTCAGTCTGCCTTCAGCCTCGGCCTCAGCCTCAGCCTGCCTCAGCCTCAGCCTCAGCCTCAGCCTCAGCCTCAGCCTCAGCCTGCCTCAGCATCAGCCTGCCTCAGCCTCAGCCTCAGCCTGCCTCAGCCTCAGCCTCAGCCTGCTTCAGCCTCAGCCTCAGTCTGCCTTCAGCCTCGGCCTCAGCCTCAGCCTGCCTCAACCTCAGCCTGCCTCAGCCTCAGCATCAGCCTGCCTCAGCATTCAAAATGTGGCCCGGGAATGGAGTTTGGGAGCTCGAAGTACACGAAGTGGCCTACAATTGGCTCCGGGCATTCAGAATCATGCCCAGGAATGGAGTTCTGGGAACTCGAAGAGCACGAAGTGGCCTACAGTTGGCTCCGGGCATTCAAAATGTGGCCGGGAATGGAGTTCTGGGAACTCGAAGAGCACGAAGTGGCCTACAGTTGGCTCCGGGCATTCAAAATGTGGCCCGGGAATGGAGTTCTGGGAACTCGAAGACCACGAAATGGCCTACGGTTGGCTCCGGGCATTCAGAATGTGGCCCGGGAATGGAGTTCTGGGACCTCGAAGACCACGAAGTGTGTAATTGTTGGCTAAAAAAATCATCTGCACCTTCCCCCGGATCGCGCCCAGATCCCCCTGGGGCGTCATGATGCTCTCTTTTGACCCTACTGGAAACTTATGAGTCGTCGCTGTTAGGTAAAAGCCTAAGGAAAACCTGAGGCAAGCTGCGAAACACTTAAGGAACGCGGAGCCCCTCCCCAACCAAGAGGGTTCCTTCTTCAGGGCCCCGACTGTACGACCCAATGGGGAGGAGAGCAGAAGATGGAAGATGCCAGACGAGATCGTGCAGCTCGCGCCTGCATAAGCCATCCTTGACTTCGCCGGACACGCCGGGAGAAGTGACCCACACCGACGCGAGAAGCACAAACAACTCCCGCGTGTGCGTGCACCTATCAGGCATTGCTGGCAACACTCGCAGCGTCGCCCCCCACGGGCGGAATCGAATGATCACAAAACACGACTGAGGTGAAGGAGAGAGGAAGAAGGAAAGGAGGAGGTACAAGAGGCCCTACCGTCAGGGCCTGGCCAGTGAGCCTAGAGGACCCATGAAGACGCCGAGCTCACGTCTTCTCTACGGCCACCGTCGCACTGCACCTCCACACAAGTGCCGCGAAACTGGCGCCCAGGAAGAAGGCACACGATACGCCACAGATGTCTTGGCCCCACAGCATCATTGCAAGTACTTGGGCATCCAGCCAACTTTGCCCAGAGCGGAACACAGGAATTGCGCCAAGTAGATGGAAGCCGCTCGAGTGAGATGGTGGCTATCACGGTGTCCCATCACACGAGTTCCAGGAATCATCGCACCACAAGTAACGTTGTCGCAGAGAAGCGCATGGATGTCAAAAAACATTGTACTATCTAACGCGCTTGCTAAACGGGTGTACGTATCCTTCAAAGGCTTGTGGTCTAGCTCGGACGCTGTCACGTTAACATCACACGTTCCACACGGCATGCTGCCATGCTGCCCAGGGCAACACTTTAATAAGTAGCTCGCATTACACCCTATATGCGGTGGAGATCCCACGAACACCAAGTTCGCACCTTGCGAATGCACAATCTTGTGGAGCTCCCCGATCCTGGTCACCATCCGCTCTAACGATGCATTGAAGTGATGATTCTCGCTGTACCAGGCCGCATGTCGATCAAAATTGCTGACGATGACGATATCACCAGGGCGCAGCAAACGGCGAAGGCACTCCTTCACAACCTTCCCGTAGTTGTCGCATGGAACCTTAGTTGCGTGACCCCGTAGGGAGTGAACCGCACTACACCAAGAGGCGGACACGCAAAGGAAATGGACGGACAGGTAGTCATTGAATCTCTGGCGGAGCCCAACGAGCAACATACGTGCATGAGAATCCCCAAATACAAACATTGCGCTCTTGTTGCCATCCCCTCCCCGGTCTGGCTCCAAACACGTTTGGGCTTCCCGTTCGAGCTTACGGCGCTCTGGAGGCTTCAAGAACGTGCACTCGAAATCACCTTTGGAATCCTGGATATGCCCCTCCCAACCAAGAGCGCCAGGAGTAACATTCTCCAGGCATGTGGGTATCATGGAGAGGGGGGGGGGGTAATGTCCCTAGCACACGGTGCCTGGTGGAATGTTGGCACGCTCTCTATGCACTCGCACGCCTCTTTGATCGGGCACGCTTGCAACTGAAGACTCTTCAGTACGCTGTTTTTCGCAATGATGGCTTCGCCAGTACGTGAATCGTCGAACATGATGCTTCTCAGAGCGTACGCGAAACACACGGCAAGCGTGACCGCAATAAATAAACGTACGAACACGCTGGCAGGATTCAGCGGTCGCTGGCGACATGTATCTGCAGCTGTTTCGCTACATTCAGCTGTGTCTGTATCTGTTTCGCATGCGTCCTCATTGGCTTCGTTCTCCTTCGCGATCTCCCCGACCTGGTTTCGGAGCGACCCCATTCGCCCTTCGACGAATTGAAAACTTTGTTCCACACAAATGTGACGAAGTGGTACGCTCAGCATGGACTGCTGCGGCTACTCCTTCGAAGTGGTACCCCGTGCCCTTGAGCCAGAATGGCGCCGTCTAGGAACAATCTTGGGCTGTCTGCGGGCGCTCGTGGCCCGTCCGGAAGCCATCTCAGTGCGCTCTTCAGCCACCTTCCAGACAACCTGGGGCGCTTTGGGCACCTCTCGGGCCAGCTTGGGGGTCTCGGGGGGTCCAGGGCCCCTTCTGAAGCCTCTTGGAGCCCTCAAGGCCCCCCCCCGGCCCGCCATGCGAACCAAAGGTAGCAATTCTGGGCCCTCCCCCGGCCTATTCCGAGATTCACACACATACATACATGTATATGTACATAGAGAGAGAGAGAGAGAGCAGGGACCGACCTTCCCGGCACTCCTATAGTCCTACCACGAACTGTTCTGAGAACCCAAAAATATTCTAAGAACGAAAGCGATGTTCTTGAAACGTAGCGCCAGACATATTCTAACAATATTTCGTGGGAGCCACAATAGGTTCTACCTCGCCACTGCTTGAATATAGAGCCTCGACAGTGGGCACAACGCAAATCAGACAACCGCCAACGGGGCGCGAGTGTTTGTGGCTAGTTTCCCCCCCACCGCGGAACACGACGCCCACATCCCTCCAATGATGCCCGCATCACGGCGACTACAGACACACCGGCCACTGTGAACACACCCAGCTGCGACAATAAAGCCCCCCCCGCAGACATACGACATGAGACAGGCTGCACTACGAACGCCGAACCAGAAAGGGCGCGGATGCGATGGAGCCGCACATGCTTGCGCAGACGTGCGCCCTCGTGCAGGTGAGCGACGGAAAATATTTAGTCTGTCTCGAGGAGCTCATCCCGGGCCGCATGGAGTCCGACCCCGACTGACATGATGGGGGCGACAACCCCTGTGCGGGACCAAGCAGCGCTGATCATCGTGAAGCTCGCCGGCGGAGCCCAGGAGACCATGGAGAAAACACCGAACATGGGACACCGAGCACCCCCCCCACTCGGTGTACCGGGGGGGCCCTGGTACACCAGGGGGGGGTGGGGGGGGCGCTCGGTGTCCCATTTTGGTGGTTTTTGGGGTTCAGGGCCCGGGGCTCGGACCCCCTCACGGGGACCGGGGCGGACGAAAGAAAACGGTCGGTCTTAGGGTCCCTGCCCTCCCAAAGCCGGTTGAGTCTGCCCTGCGTGGTGCGGGGGTCACCGGGCTCACAAGATTTACGACTGAAGGTCCGCCACTGGACCTTCGCATAGCAAGCGCATCGCTTGCAGAAAACTGCCCCTGGCCTCCGCACGAATTTGTGGCCGTTGCCGCGAGCTGGTGCCAAACGGTTGAGAGAGATTGGTAGAACAACCGTGAGTCGAATTTTAATGCTGCGCTGTCACAGTGGCTGGGATTGCTGCAAGAATTTGTTTCTGAAGCAAACGGGCTGTGATTCAATGCCAACATGCAGAGTGATCAATGGGATATGTGCATTTGTGGTGCCTGCCCCTGTACGACGTCGACTGCGCGTCGAACCTAATAATTTGTCAGGCGTCGGACTGAGAGGCGACATCAAGGCGCAGTATATGCCGCACTGGCAGGTGCAGATAAGTTGTCGCTGTGATATTGACAAGAACACATGCGACGCAATGCAAGCACACCTGATACTTATAAACGCGAGTGAGGCACATGTTGTGCCGCAGCAAAAATGATGGCGCCCTCTTTGCGGACTCGGCAATGCTCGAGCATGGAAGGCAAGCCGAGCAGATCAGTACCGCCGTCCAACCTAGACAGGAAGCCAGTCAAGACCTCGAGGTCGCTTTGGCGAACTGCTGCCTCCACCCGTTGCAGCATCCAGACCTGGTACGGATTCACGAAACGACGCCCTCGGGAAACGCCTCCAGGTCGGCCGTGCCTGTCGAAAGGCAGGGAGAAGGCGTGCGTGAGGCGGCCCCCGCCTCGCTGCGCTGGGCCGTCCGGGGTGAAGGACTTGCCCGGCAGAGGGCCGGAGCCGTGGCCACTCTGCAGATAGGAAGTCAAGACGCTGCACGTGCTCCTGAGGACCGGCCAGAACTCGGTGAAGAACACCAGGAGCAACTGCATGATCGTCTCAGGCACAGCATCGTCTGGCAGCCACTCTTCCGCGCCCCTCTCTGGCCGGCTGCCCCGATCGTGAACGCGACGGCACCACTGCGACACTCGCGGGAACTCTTCTTCCATCATCCTTCCCGGCACCGGGTCCGTCAGCAGGTGTGCGTACAAGGGGCCAAGCAAGCCGAAGTCCGCTGTCGAGACACGGCCGCCAAGGACGAAGTCGTGCGACTCGAGGTGGCGCTCGAAGATGCCAAGGATGTTGCGGCACGAGGCCTCCCAAGCAGCGACCGTGTCGTCGGTGACGCCGAGGGACTCCACGGAGTACTTCCCGAGCCCCAAGCCCGCAAGGAACAAATTGTCGAAGAAGAAGCGTGCCGTCCGCCGCTGGACGTCCTCGGGCTCGCTGGGTCGGAAGAACGCGCCCCACTGCCTCTCGTTGTACTCGCGATGGCTCGGCAGCGGCCTCGCACCGTTCATGAAGGCGGGCATTCCGCAGAGGGCATCTGCACACCACCGCCCGGCATGGTCAGGGCCGTCCCAGGCCGTAGAGGATGGTGCACAGAATCTCCTGGCCTGGGACAAGACGGCGTATGCATCGCGCCAGGGTCCAGACTGGCCCTGACCAGGGATGATGCTGCATAGCTGATCGACGGTGGACATACCTCCCCTCAGTAAACCACCCATTAGTGACAACGGCCTACGACCGAAACCGACGGACCTGGACCCGCAAAAATGACGGCCGCGACGCCCTCTCGCGAACCGAAACCGGCCAATTCGCTAATCGACGTGTCAGGGTAGGAAGTCTATCAACCTCCGAGCTGAGCTCCAGAAGTCCGCTCGAAATCATACAGTGGACCCCAGGCACGGTGGTGTACAGCTGCGCTGCCAGAGTCCATCCGAAACCATACCTCCGACCCCAAGCAAGGTAGTGTGCAGCTGCGGTTGGGGGGGGGATGAGGAGGAGGAGGAGGGGGAGGAGGAGGAGGAGGAGGAGGAGGAGGAGGAGGAGGAGGAAGAGGAGGAGGAGGAGGAGGAGGAGGAGGAGGAGGAGGAGGGGATAAGCTAAGGGGGGGGGGGACAATGCCATGGAATCGACGACTACCGTGCTTGGGGTCCGTGCTCACCCTCCTGAGGTCCATCCTGACCAAAGTTAGCGGCGCGCACAAGGGGGCAGGGGGAAGGGGGAGGGCTGCCTTAGAAAGAGGCTGCTTCTTAGAAGGCGCCGGCCCTACATCTGTAGACAAGGCCCGCGCCTTCTACGAAGCAGGGGTGCTTCTAAGAAGACTTCCCCCCTCCCCCGACCCCCCTCTTTGAGCAGGGACCGACAGACTGGGCAGTCCAATCGGCCTACCACGAAACGTTCTCAGAACCCACAACTATGAAGGGGAACTGGGACACACAAGTAAATACACACAAATAAACATATCCCCCATATTTTCCCATATGTTCTGGGTTTCTGTCTTCTCCCCCACTTCCCATATTTTCTTATATTTCCTGGGGGATCGAGGATTAATTGTGTCTGTGTGCTTCTTTTCCTCCTGAAGCTATTCGGAGAACAGGGGACATGTTCCCAGAGCACAGACCCGACGTATTGAAACAGGGCGGCCTCAGCCCGAGATGGTCTCAGAGCAGATCGTGCAGATCACAAAATGGGACGCACAGAGACATACTAATTTTAAGGGGCCCCAGTACACACAAATAAATACACAAATGAAAAGGTTCCCCATATTTTCCCATATTTTTAGGGTTTTTGTCTTCCCCCACTTCCCATATTTTCCCATATTTTCTGGGAAATCGACGATTCATTGTGTCTGTGTGTTTTTTCCCCTCCTGATAATTCTATATGTCCTCCTTGGAGGCGCGCGTCCGACCCGAGCATCTAGTATGCCCATCTTGTAGTAGATCGTTTCCCGAGCGGTGTGGCAGAAAGCGCCCACCACGACGCATGTACTAGAAGATTTCTCGGTGCGCGCGCCGCCCCTTTGGGGGGCGACGCACATCTAGTGTAAGTATGTTGGGGTGACGCCGATTTGCTGTGGTGCCCAAATAGGCCACGTGGTGTCCATCGGCTGCCTTCGAGCGTGGCGTGGATCCGCGCCGCTGCGACTGCGAGCAAGCATCGACCGGGCTCTGCCCTTCTGGCCCCCCAGCGCGGAGGAGGAGGAGGACGAGGAGGAGGACGAGGAGGACGAGGACGAGGAGGAGGAGGAGGAGGGGGAGGAGGAGGAGCAACAAGGCTCAGGAGGACACTGCCTGCTGGGCCCCTGGGCGAGCCAGGGCGCTGCGCCACTGCCTGCCCTCCGCGCATGGCCGACGCAGCCTCGGCCCGCGTCGCTCTCTCCGCCGCCCGGCCCCTCGGCCCCCGGCGCGGGCCCCCGGAGGTCGACCGCCGTGGAAGAAACCCGCAGACCGGGTCGTCGTCGTCGTCGTCGCCGTCGCCGTCGTCGTCGTCGTCATTGTCGTCGTCGTCGTCGTCGTCGTCGACGCCGCCCCTCGCAGTCGTCACCGACGTCGTGTTCTGTCGCATTGGAGCGAGCATGCTGGGACGACCTTCCGTGGGCGTTTCTCTGTCCGCAGCCAAGTTCGGGCCGGGCGAAAGGGTGAGATAGCAAAGGGGGGGTTTGAGAATCAGCTCACGCAGCTGATTTTCCCGGCGCCTCCCGGCGCCGGGAGGCGGCCATGTATCGAGGAATGGGCCCAGCGGCGGGGCAGAAACCAGCTGCATGCATCAGATTTCGTAACCCCCCCTTTCCCAATCCCCCCCTTTCGTCCGGCCCGATACTCGCAAAATCACTACTCGCAAATGGCTTGGATCCGCCGCGAGCAATCTACGATAAGTTCCCTCAGAGCAGGCATTTTTTTTTTTTTTTGTTTTTTCGGACCTCTGCAAGGAGGCACTTTGCGAGTGGTGGAACGCGCTCGGTGACAGAGGCCCTCGGAGGGCGAATGCCACTGACCGCTCACGGATGGTTTGAGCAGTGACCGGCCGTCCCGGCATTCCCATAGGCCTTGCGCGACAAGTTCTTAGAACCCGGGAATATTCTAAGGACATCAAAAACAACATCCTTAGAACAGAGCCGCGATGTGTGAAAAAGACAGCCCCAGCCAGAAATGGTCTCATAACATTTCGTGCAGACCACACAAAGATCTTCGAATATCCCTTGGTGGGCCTCTAGGCGAGCCAGGGCGCTTCGCCACTGCTTGACATCTGCGCGTGGAAAAAAGAAACCACATAGGCCCTCGGAGGGCGAATGCCCTGACCGCTCACGGATGTTTTGAGCAGTGTCCGACCGTCCCAGCATTCCTATAGGCCCACCACGAAAAGTCTTTAGAACCCAACAATGATCTAATAACAGCAAAAACAGTGTCCTCATAACATACACACGATGTGCAAAAACAAGATAGCCCCAGCCAGAACCGACGTTCTCAGAACTTTTCGTGCAGACCACAAAAAGGTGATTGTAACATCATTTGGTGGGCCTGTAGGCGAGCCTGGACGCTTCGCCACTGCTTGAATGGTGGTGCACAGGCGCCCTCTGCGTGGCATGCGCTGCGCCTCGGAGCAGTCCCCAGAGTAGGCCCACCTTAGGGAAGACAGAACAGAGCCCAAACACACACACACACACACTGACTTTCTGTCTTCAGTGTTTGTTTGCCTTCGGTTCTTTCAGTCTGAAGCGCCTGCATAACTGAAGGGGCCCTGAGACACACAAATAAATACACACAAGTAAACGTATTCCCTATATTTTCCGATATGTTTTGGGTTTTCGTCATCCCCCCCCCCACTTCCCATATTTTCCCATATTTTCTTGGGGATCGACGATTAATTGCGTCTCTGTGTTTTCTTCCCTCCTGAATAAAATAAACTTCCAGAGGTCTGTGCGGACTTCTCGGACCTGTACGGCCCCCCCCCCCCTTGGCGCGCGAAGCGCGCCAGGGCGGCACCGAAGGCGCTGCCAGGGAGGCCCAGCGCTGATCCGAGACCTCCGCGCGGACCCCCGAAAGTTTGTGCGTTGTGGGCGTTGCTCCTCTTCGACGCCGCCCGTGGCAGGCCGGCGTGGGGGGAACGCAAGGGGGGTGCAGCCCAGGGAGGCGAGGCATCGAGCTGGCATCGGCGATCCCTCGCCGATCGGTCGGCGCCGGGCCCCCGAGGGGGAAATTCCGCACGCTTCCGGGGCCGAGTGGGGGCGCGCTGGGCGCCCTGTCGGCAACAGAAGGGGCGATTGGTGGTCGATGCATTGCATTCCCCCGCGGGCCTGTACTTGAGCAGGGACAGGCCGTCCGGGCAATCCTGCAGGCCTAACACGGCATGTTCTTAGAACCCAAAAATGCCCCAAGAACAAAAACACTGCGCTTCGGAGATCTGTCCGCTGCGTTGCAACCGGGCAGTCTCGGCCAGAGGTGTCCTGAGAGCATGTCCTGTGCAGACCACAGAGCATGTCCTTAGAACATTCTTTGGTGGGCCTAGAGGCGAGCCAGGACGCTTCGCCACTGCTTGACATCCCCCCGTGCAGCCGAGGTTGATTGGAGAGGACACACGCGAGGACACAAGACCCTTCCGAGGGCCACGGCGCCATAGGAATGTAGAAGGCATGGGTCGCCAAACACAGGACGCACGAGCACCCTTGATTTGGCAGGGTCGACCTACCAATCCGCCTCGACGGTGACATTGCCCCCTGGCTCTTCGGCCAGAGTTCGGCTCCCGGGCGACCGCTCGAGACGACCTGGCGACCCCCGGGAGCGCCCTCGGCGAGGCGCGGCCGCTGGACCCCGAAACGTCACCCCCCCTTACCTCGGCATCCCCCCTGTGCATCATCATCATCATCATCATCATCATCATCATCATCATCATCATCATCATCATCATCATCATCATCATCGTCTTCATCATCAGCATCATCATCATCATCATCATCATCATCGTCATCATCATCATCATCATCATCAGCATCATCATCATCATCATCATAATCATCATCATCATGGTCATTATCATCATCATCATCATCATCCACATCCACATCCACATCCACATCCACATCATCATCATCATCATCATCATCATCATCATCCTCATCCTCATCCTCATCCTCATCATCAACATCATCATCGTCAACATCAGCATCCCCGTGCGCCCAACCCCCCGACTGTTGCCCCCGCGAGCCGTTCCCGGAGCATGCCCGCCTCCAGTGGTAGGCGGGCGTGAGCAACCACTCGTCGCCGAGCAGCTCCAGGAGCTCCACCGCCAGGCGCTGCCTGGGGCGTTCCGACGCGGAGGGCAGCACGGCTGGCGAGCCCGGGAGGTAGGCCTCGACGGCATCGATGATCTCCGTGGAATCCTCGGGGATCGACTACAGAGTTGATTTACCCCCAAATTGATTTGCCCCATCGAAGCTACGACGAATACGTAGAACGCTCGTGCAGCTACTGAAGACTCTGCGTATTTGTTCCGTAGTTTCGACGAGACAACTAATTTTGGGATCAATGAATTCTGTAGTCGATCCCCTACCCAAAGAAAGCACTGCACACACATCAACTCTCGGAGGTCCACGCGGATTTCTGGGATCGACGTCGGGCCCCCCCAGCCCCTGTCGCGCGGAGCGCGCCAAGGGTGGCACTGGAGGCGCGCCAGAAGGGCCCAGCGCACATCCAAAAGATCCCCGCGGAGCTCGGGCTGTTTTTAGCATGCTTGCTTACTCTTCTTCTTATTCTTCTTCTTCCTCGTCTTTTTCATCCTCACGTTCTTCTGACTAGTCTTAATATTCGCCTGCTTCTTCATATTCGTATCATTCGTATTAGTGTTATGATGCTTCTTATTCTTCTTCTTCTTCTTCTTCCTCGAGTCCTGCACGAAGCGGTCTGGCAGGCGGACCTGCGGCACCGCCTTGCCGCCGCGACAGAAAAGGGGTGTCCTGGAAGCGTTCCGCCGCTCCTGGGCTCGCGGGGCCCTCCCGGCCCGGAAACCCACACCTTCGGCCCCAGACCCCTTCGAGTCATGAAAAAATTACGACGGGAGTTTTTTAGCTATTTTCGGCCTCCGGGGGCCCTTACCGGCCCTCAAGACTGTCAAAAAACGACTCAGGATGAAAAAACAGTCCCGGGGAATGGGTCCGGACCTCTGGGGGTCGCGTCATGAAACGTCATGACGTCGGAGGTCTGGGGCGGCATGCATTCTGAACCAGACTTCTGCTTTCCTCGATCCGGGCCTCTGGGGCAGGAGAGCCCAGAATCGAATCGACAAGTCGGACCGGCGATCGACATGTATCGGATGGGGGCAAATAGGCAGCCGAGTCGGAAGCATTCGAATCGGCGGAAATTAGCAGGCTTGCATGCGTCCAATGAGAAATCGTGACCCATATCGGAATCCCAAGTCGAATCGAATCGGTATCAGAATCCATCGAAATCGAATCGAATCGGGGGAATCGAAATGAGCCCCGCTGGGGTTGATGATCAGGCCCCGGGGCCCGCAGAGACGGAGTCGGGACGAGCAGCTATACCCCCAGGGGAGAGATCGGAACCTCGAAGGCAGCGGATTCAAAAAATCTAATCGGAGGACATCAACAGAACTCCAGAGAGTGAAACGCTGGTCCTTGGGTTAGGTCGGGCATGCCCCCCTACATGCGGATATCGGACGAAAAATAAGAAATAGTCAAAACATATTCAACATAGCCAGACATAGTCAAAACAAGCGTCCCCAGACAAGTTTTTGACTCTTCTTGAATATTCCTCCTGTAGAAGGACAGGCCCGACTTAACCCTAAGGCCACAGATTGAAAAATCAGATCGGAGGATCGCAACACGACTCCGGAGGGTGGAACGCTGGCCCCTTGGGGGGGGAAGCTCTGGCGCCCAGGGCCCCTCTCCCACCAGCGCCCGCTCCCTTCCTCCCATGAGCCTTGGTGTGCGTCTCGGGGACGAGCACCTCGGCGATCACCTCCGGCGAGGCCACGACCTCGTCAAAGGAGAACCCAGGCGTCACGCGCTCCTTGTAGCGGAGGTACCCACGGACCTCTCGAGAAGCAAAACATGGCATAGACGTGCGGCTTCGGTGTCTGCGCGGATTTCTTGGATCGGCGCCAGACCCCCTTCCTTGTGCGCGGGGCGCGCCAGGGACGGCAGAGGAGGCGCTGCCAGGGGGCTCCAGCACCGACCCGAGAAATCCACGCGGACATCTGAAACCTTCTGTTTGTGAGACGGTCTGTTCCCTGAGACCTTGCCGGAGAAATAGGACAGCTCCCACCCGAACAGGCGGAGCGTGCCGGGCGCGGAGGGCTCCCGGGCGCGCCTCACTGCCTCCGAGCCTAAGAGGAATACCAAACGGCATGAACATAAGCGTTTGACGGTCCGCGCGGTTTCTTGGATGTGCGCGGGGTCCCCCTCCCTGGGGCGCGGAGCGCGCCAGGGACGGCGCGGGAGGCGCCGCCAGGGCGCTCCAGCGCAGATCCAAGAAATCGGCGCGGAGCGCCAAGCAAGAGCTTATCATGATCATGCCGCTTGTTCTTCTTCGAGAGCCGTTCGCGGAGGAGCGCGCCCCCGACTTGCCGGTCGGCGCGAGCAGGCCGCCCGTCTCGGAGGTCACCCACGCCAGGACGGCGTCCGCGTCACCGTCGCCGCGCAGCTTGGACCTCGCGATGGCCACCGCCAGGCCCGGAACGCCCTGTGCCAGGAAGGCGATCGCGGAGGCCTTCTCCCTGGCGCCCTGGAGCATCGTGCACTGCGGCGCGCGCGCGGAGATGCTGGTGCTGCGGGCACTTGCGCCGCAAGTGCTCAAATCCAAGCAGCTACGAATGGGCAGGAGGAGGAGGAGGAAAAGGAGGAGGAGGAGGAGGACCTTTCGCACCCTTATTTAGATGGAGCCCAAAAGTGCGAGCTCAGACCCACCATCCACTTCACATGCCAGGGAACGCCATGCCATACTTAGGCAGGAGTCCCGATTCCAACAGAATCAAATTCTGCCCCCCTGTGGCAGTCATATCGGAAAAGGGCAGGGCTTGGCAATATTCACATGATGCTGTACACACAACTTCCCGCACAGCTTGCAAAACAGAGTGACCCGAAACACCCTCGAGAGATGGGTAGGGTGCAGACTGGCAGGGAGGGGGTGCTCAGACACCATGGCAAGCTTCCAGTGGAGGTGTCCACGGCGACGGGCACAACCTGCACAACGGCACCCAACACCGCGGACCCAGAACACAGGGGAGGTCTAGAATGCTCGAGCTTGCCCTTCCAGGCAGGATACTTGCAACGAAACCCCCTGACACTTGAGCTGAGCTCCTACTGTCAGAATGTCGTGTCCTTGCTCCAGCAGGCGGAGCTTCCGCTGGTTCAGAGACGTGGCTGCATTCTTGACCCTATGCTTCTCGCGGCCTAGGCGATTGTCTCTCTGCCTCGCACACGTCTACACAACTTGCCGACAGATCGCTAAGAGCCGTCGGAGCACGACAAACCTACGATGGATTTCTTTCTCTAACTCGCTGATATTTGTTTCGTCGAGGGCCCCCCAGCCCGCAGCCGCGTCAACCAAACATGTCAGCAACTGCGTTCGCAACGAGGCATTTGGCATCGGGGCGGTTCACGCGGAGGTAGCGTTCGGTGGGGTGGCTCTTGATCCAGTAAGCGGTGATAACGCCGTCCCTGGTGCTGAGCTGATCCCACACTTCTTGTCATAGATCGAACAGGACCGACGTATCTACAGGGGCTTGGGGTCCTCTGAACATGACCCACGTATGCACAGGGGCTCCGAATCTTCTCTTGAAGGCGTCCACAAGCTGCTCGTTAGCAGTGCAGCGACTGACCTGGCCTACCGTGAGTCGCGACTGGAAGAGGACCGCCGTGAATTCAGCGCGAGGGGAGCTCTGATGGGGGACCTGCAAGAGTACCGCATATCCCGCCATCCACTTCCAAGGGCCCAGGCCGAAGGTGAACGACGCGCCACCCACATCTCCACGTCCTGCAATCCTTGGCGCACTCTCCCCCCGCCCATGGGCACCGAAGAAGCCGTCCACGATCCGCGCGTTAGTATGCAAGGCAGCAAGGAACGATACCCCAGCCCATGCTGTTTGGCCGGCTTCAGGGAGGGGGTCCAGGGGCCAGCCGAGAGGGACAAGCCCGCGGAGCCAGGAGCACGGGGTGTCAGCGGCCCCCTTGGATGGCTTCCCGAGCCATGCCTTGGGTCTGGGCCGCGTGGGGATCATCCCGCTCACCTTTGCAGTTGCACTCCCAGAGCGCTGAGCGGGCGTCTCGGCCTGGGGCCCGCACCAGGGACGCAACCCGCTCAGGTCGTATCCTCCGCCCTTCCAAACGTTGCTCTGGCCACTGCGCTCCGGTCATCAGATTGCCGAGAACGCCGAGGCCTTCAGCGCCGCCGTCTTTGTGCATCTGCTTTCGGCGACGACGGTGTACCCCGGCCCCCTGCATGAAATCCCCGGCCCCCTGCAGGCCTTCGCCGCAAAGATGCCCAGCGGCTCTCTGCCGCTGTTGCTCAGCAACACAGGGGGCTGCAGCATCGCACAAGAAAAACGGCAATCCTTGCGATCGACTCGAACGATGCCTCCAGGAAGCCCCCAACGGACGGGGTTGACAGCCCGGCACGCCAGCCATGACGGCGCGCGCGCGGGCCCTCTGGCCAGGCGCCGCATGTCCCCAGCGCCGGCTTCGCGAAGTTCACGGACAAGGGGGCCCCAGAGTTTGAGAATGTTTATCTTAAGCCTGTCGTCAAGATGCGGCCACAGACGCCCCCGCTCCAAGAGATGTCCGTACCTGGGCGTGCATCCTGGATCGTCGTGGTCAGCTCGCCCAAGCGCCAACAGGGTGGTAGCGCGCGCTCACGGGCCCCATCTGCCAGTGGCCTTTGCGGCCTGCGTTCGGAGAGTTTACACTCTGGGCGGGGGCGCGCCGCGCGCCTGGTGGGGCCGCGCTCCGACGGCGACGGCGGCTGGCCTGAGCAGTCTGCGGGCCTTCGCGCTAAGACCGGCCAGAGCAACTCAGTTTCTTGGATGCCCCCAGCCATCTTTCACACCGTGCGCCTGCGCCCACCAGCCATGCGCACTCCCAGATTTGTCACGGCGCCAACAGATTGAAGGGGGGGCCGAGCTTGAGGCAGGAGGCCTTCACAGGCCGCCCCAGAGCTGTACATGGCGAGACCACATCTGACTTTTCTGAGGCGACACAACCACGAGCACGAAACCTGCGACCCAGGTCTGCAGCAGCTGGCGCGAGGTCCTGGCAATGTTGGCGGCCGCGCCCTGCAGCGACTGGTCTTCGTCATCCGCGTGGGCAAAAGCAGGGGCGCGAGGATGCCCGGCGCGGACATGTTCGAGCATGCCGTACACATCGCATTTATCCGGAGGAAGGATTGCGAACGCTCGGCCAGCATAGAGGCCCCGCTGGGAACCGCTGAGGATACCACGCTGGACACATCGACGCATCAAGCACGGGGGGGCAGCATGCGTCAGGGGGCCGAGGTACAGGAGGAGAGAATAGTTCACAGTTAGCGCCAGCCCGACCAGCTGGACAGGGTCAACCTTGTCGAACAACTTCTCCATGTCCCAGTGGACAGATGCTGACGCTCCGCCTAACTCCCGAGCGACCTTATGGACCAATTCTCATCGCGGCCCTCAGAACCGAATAATTTCTGACGGCCGAATCCCAGAGTGCTGCGCGGGGGTCGGTCCATTCCAAAATCTTACCTCCCTGAAGCTTGGCGTGCTCAGTAGAGGGAAGGGCTTTTGGCGATGGGTCTTTCGGAAGCCTCATTTTTGGGGCAGCAGCGCGACGGGGCCCAGACGCACCTGCTGAGGGAACGTGGGCATCCGCTCGACGTCCTGGTACACACCTGCAAGAGACTCAAGCGCCTCGATGGGGCGCTGCAAAGCATCCTGCGTGTGTGGTGGGGGGGGGGGGCGGGGGGGCATCCGCCCGCGCGGAGGCCGGTGTCCGCATGCCTCCACCTGGACGCACTCAGGAGGTCCCGGGCACGGATTGGCTCAACTCCAAAGCTTATTCGTCACCGCATGGCCGCCGGCGTCCAAGGGCAAATTCCAGACCAGCTTTCTGAAAAGGCAAACGGGGCCCAAAAGCTCCTCCGCAATCTTTCCCGATGGGCCATCAGCTCGCCGGGCATCTGGGTAACCCTGCTGGGTTAACATGGAACAGCACTGCTCGCGGGGAATCATGTTTAAGCCACCTATGTATCTTCCCTGCCCCCCGCTGAGCCCTGCGGTGATCCTGTCCTGCAGGGGCTGCCTGCCAGTTTTGCAAGCCTGCGCCCGTGCGCGACGAGTTGTGGGCACGCTGGCCCCAATCATCTGATCAATCTCTCAACGCATCAGACACCTCAAAGGAGAATCCCCACATCTGAGCACGCTGCGGGTCACCGAGCGGGCATAGCCGCCAGCGTACTTCTGCTGCTCGCGCAGCAAGGGTAGTCCTGAGAGCGCTGAGGCGGTCCGCGCCACTTCGCTTCAGAGAACAGGCTAGGAGGCCACGCAGCCCAGCGGGAAGAAAATGTCAACGTCTCCCACGTCTCCCACGTTTCGGAAAAGGGCCCACATCGAAACTTAACTCCAGAGCCCTCGGCGCCACGAGACGGGCCCCGATGGGCCCCGGCCCTGGAAGAAAGAAAGGCTTCGGTCGCGGCGGGCCAAGAAGAATAGGCGTTGCCCAAGTGTCCTGGATCTGCTTGCACATGATATGGGAGCACAGCTTCTTGCACTTCAGGCGGTGCCCGTTGGCCCTGGCTCGCGGCGGCCCCCGCCTCCTTCGCACGGCGGCGCCGCTGGCGATCGGGCCCCAAGCATCAGGTGGAAGGCGCTGGCCCGACGCGTCTCCAGACTCATGCCCGCGTGGCAGCAAAGGGGGGAGTAACGCGCGAGGGAACAGTTTTTTTGTCGACTGCTTCAAGGTGAGACTTCACACCAACATATTCCCTATTGGTATGAAACGTTCCTGCAGTACTCTGACCACATGTGTGTGGAACGTTCCTGGGTTCGATAACTCCACCTTGCGCAAGCTCGCAGGATCCACAGTGATGCAACATGGGGTTCCTCGTGGAGATCTCCAATGAGGATCCAAGGCGTCTCGAGTCTCGATCGTCGGGAAGAATTTAGCAATGCGCTGGAGGCGCCGGACATCAGCAGCGCTCACTCCGACGCCTGAAACATGATCCAGGCGAACGACCCAACCATATGCAGTTGTGGGTGCTGCAATTGTGAATATGTTCTTCGGTGAATCTCCTCATGGGGCCACGATGCGCTGCGCTGGGCGGGGGGGGGCGCATGCGGGCGGCAGCGCTGGGGCCGTCGGTGGAGCTCCTTGTTGGGCCACGAAGCGCTGTACAGGGTGGGTGGGAATGCCAAATTGGGTGTGTGGGACGCATGCGGACGGCCCCACTGGGGCCTTCGATGGAGCTCCCTATGTCGCCACGAAACGCTGTGCTGGGTGGGTGAAAATGCCAGCTCGGGCCTCCGGGGCGTATGCAGACGGTCCCAGTGGGGGCTTCGGTGGAGCTCCCTATGGGGCCACGAAACGCTGTACTGGGTGTGTGAGAATGCCCAGTGGGGCTTCCGGGTCGCACGCGGACGGTCCCACTGAGGGCTTCGGCGGACCTCCTAATGAGGCCACGACACGCTGTCCTGGGCGGGTGAAACTGCCAGATTGGGTGTGTGGGACGCATGTGGGCGTCCCCACTGGGGGCTTCGGTGGAGCACCCAATTGGGGCCACGAAGCGCTGTGTTGGGCGGGTGAAAATGTCAAATTGCGCGTGCGAGGCGCATGCGGGCGGTC